CACCAGTGGGAGTAGTCGTACTAGTAGTAGTAGCCATCGCTGTAGTACTAGTAGCCATCGTTGTGATACCAGTACTAGTAGAAATCGTTGTAGTACTAATAGCTGTGGGAACTGTTGTAGTACTACTAACACGAGTGCTTGTCGAAGGAATGGATGTTGTCGTGTGCGCTGAGCTAGTAGTAGTGGTAGTAGACGGCAACGGCTTAGTTGTCGTAAGTACCGGGGTCTTCTCCAGCATCATCCTAATATAGTCCACCAGCGGCCCTGGATTGCCATACCTCTCCCCTTTGAGATATGTGAAGACAGTGGGATAATTATTCACTCCTTGCTTACCGCAGAATTCATTCGCCTCGTCATCTCGTACACAGTCGAAGGCCACTACACGAGGAAGGTTCTCCTCATCATAGAACGTTTTCGGGTTATAGAAAACATTCTGGTTCTTGATGAGCTCATCCGCAGTATTCCGGCAATGCCCGCACCAATGCGCGTAGTATATGACTACTTTCGTATACAGCTTCGTCCCCTCAGCTTTCCTCACATCACTTTCGTCGCCATCTAATATCTTGGTCTTGTCCTTGGGAAAGAGTCCTTGATAAGAACCGTATAAAAATGCTGTCATTACAGCGGCGAATTCCGGCAACTGGAGACGCATGGCTAAACAAAGGTGGGGAAATCTGATCGATTATGCAACTACCAGTTCTCATCGAAAATCACCATCGTTCCGCTGGGCAACCAACCAACTCGAAAATTCTTCGAAGCACGAAAGAATGTACCACTCTGAGGTGAAGACGACAGAGAGCTGCTGCCCGCAGCAACACACCTGACACGGCCTCTCTGGCATCCATCGCCAACAACTCTTTTTCTAACCGCACCTCAACCAATTCATGGCTCAAGCTAGCTCGAATTCCTTGTCGAGTAGCCTTCAAGTGTAGGCCTCAGAAGGAACAGGTGTAAGAGAGAGGATTGATGCCAAGATAGAGGTAGTGATGATGACGAAGTGAACGCCTAGAGAGAGCAACAATACAGGGCATCGATTTAAACGATTCGATTATGCATTCAACTGTACGAGTGTCCTTCCAACAGGTTTGCGATGTAATGTCCCAGTGTGACCGCACCACTAGGCCCTACATCCCGCACCGACCATTACAGCATCTTCATCATAGCCAATGGCTATTAGCCATGCTTCCCTACATTCTGGGCGTGGCGCACAAGCAGGGGAAGGAGACATCAAAGCGCGTGACGCGGTCACACGGTGCGACTCACACCTGCGCCACGACCCTACACCCCAAGCACCCGACATGGAAGCTGCGTTAATATGCTGGATTACACCACCAACACTGTATTGGTGCAATCCACGATCGGCGCCGCTCTCGGAAGGTTCCGAATGCGCATACCGTATAAGACCCAACCCATACCAGGTACGCTCAAGTGTTTCTAAGACTCATCAGTTCTTCACATGTGCAACCGTTGCACTGCAACGTCGTAACGGCGTTACGTAACGCCGAAAGTGAGACGAGCACGATCGGTTACGCTCATTGCGTC